TACAAGAAACCAAACCACATTGAGATAGAGGGTTCTGGGAAAAAGTAGACCAGGGATGACTCTGATGTTATTTTTCTGAATGACGGTGAGAAAAGGTAAAGTATCTCAGTTATTCATATTTTCTTTATGGTTATTCATCACATACGGGTTATTAATAATGATCATTCTGAATATTGTGGTTATTCATCTTGAAACAAAATAATATTCATCAATTCCCAATTTGTATGCATCATCTTACGAGTCCTTTTTTATGTACCAGTGTAAAAAGTTCGGCAAAATGGAAAAGGGTCAACCAGCCACCACCAACTTCAGAAACACACAAAGAAGCAGCATCACATGTTTCAAAGAAACAAGCAAATAGGGGAAGGAAAAAATCAAAGGTATCGTATCTACTTTCCGAGTTTAATTTTATACAATATTCGTTTGATGTACTATGAAGATATTTCCAATTATAACCATTTTAGTCATCTTTTAAACATATATTCATCCATTTTAGCTATGTGAACAGCGAAAAGAAGAAAGCCAAAAGTGCTAAATCAGAAGAGAAGGGCGAGGTGAAAAAAAGGCAAAGAAGACTAGCTGAAGATGAAGCGTTTAAGACTAGGGTTTCTCCCAATGCTGTATGCAGTTTGATCAAACTGCTCGATGTCAAACAGAGAAAAGCGCTTTGGACACATTCTGGATATTAAATGCTCCCGATTTGATGACACGGATCTCTTGAAATATCTGGTGGAAAACTTCGAGTAAGTAATATATTATTCATCCACATGCAGAAATTATTCATCAGTCATGTGTATTTATTCATCAATGTACGCAAATATGCATCATTAAATCTACTGTATTCATGATTAATTTTTTTCACCCCTGTCCATAAAACAGCCCGATTCATTGCTGACTTAAACTGCAAGAAAACATCAAATTGTTAATAGGTGTAGAAGATGTGGATTCAGTGCTCGACCTTCCCCGAGGTGAATATGAGGTTGAAAACTACATAGAAGGTCAGACTAGTGACGAATACCTCATGTTGGTGAAAGAAATGAGGGAAACATTTGGACTTGATCTAAATAAGGGAGCTCCAACAGCCTTTTAAACTTATGAATCATCTAGTTGGGGGAAGGATGCCCATTAAAGGCAAAGATCCTAGACCAGAAGATATAACTAACCATGTTTATGGTGATAAGTTCAAGAGATGGTTTGTGGTTGCTGTTGTTTCGAGTATATTATGGAGAAATAGGTCACAGGAGTGCTGTTATCATCTCTCGAATTCGTTGATAAATGTAGGAAGGATTAAAGATCTGAAATGGTGTGAATACATCATCACAGCGTTGTGGCACTCGGTGAAGGATTACAAATGCAACCCTGCTCATTTTACAGGACCGCTGATCTTTTTGCGGATAATGACACAAAATTGTGGGTTTTTTTTTGTTGTTTTTTATGCTTTTTATCTGAAACAAATTCATTCATTAATATTGTGATATTCATTACTACAATAATTGTTATTCATTAGTTTTGATTTTCTGAATCAACGTAGAAGCTCACGTAAATTGATTGTGTCGAACCCGACGCGAAACATAGGAAAAAGCAAAGGTTCCCACTGATTGTTCATTGGTCAACAAATGATGTAAATAAAAGAGCAGATGAAGAGAGAAGAGGATATGGTTTTGGGTGTGGTATTATACACCAACCTCAAGTACCCCTAACACCAAAACCTGAAATGCAAAGTCATCCTGAACATTCGACCATTGCCTTACAACCAACACGCGTATCCATCTTCGTATAGGATTTACCAATTGAAGCGTTTTTCCTTCCTTGCTACATGCAAACTGTTTCATATATACAACACCTAATTTGGCACTTTTCCCGTCTTTAAACCTTTCTATTAAAAAACCGATACGCTTTGATAAGAATTGTAAGCAGCAAATACATCTTCCTCTGAGTTAAAAGATCGACCAATTAGGACATCATCTGATGAACACGAAAATTTATATACTCATCAATAACATATTTATTATTCATTACTTAACGTAAAATACTCATCGTTTAAATCATCACAAAATATTACAACAACGGCCAATAAACAACACTGAAACCATATTCATCAGTAACAATATGTTATGCATCAGTAACCACTAGATATTTATCATTAAAACATAATCAAACAGTACATCATCTGTGGGACACAACAGTGGAACTCTATTCATCAATAACCATACGTTACTCATTGAATACACATACAATATTCATTAGTGTTACTATAAATATCCATCTTTAAATATATACATTCATTAGTATTGATATTCATTAGAAACATACATACATTCATCTGAAGACATGTCATATCACACAATGTTAACTACCAAACAACCATACTCAATGGTTATTCATCAGGTATAATTAAATATGCATCACCGACAGTAGCAACAATCATTAACAAGACAATAACATATACTCAATCCGATCATATTACCTTCTAAAGATTCAGGAACTCCATCATCAATTTCAACCAACGATCTATCATCTCTAACAACAATTGCTGAAGAAACATGATGAACATCATCTATTTCTTCTACTCCATACGAATTCAACGAACCTTCCGTGGTTGCAACATCTTCTTCAACAATATCAGCAACACCTTCGTCATTTTCCCAACCATTATCACCGGAATTACTATCTACTCAGCTGTTTAAATCTACACCTTCCATCATGAATAATTTTCCAGATTGAAGAGTATTCCAGATGTTACAAAACTTTCTCAGAATCGTATAATTGATCAATGACATGCGTTACATTAAGGATAATGAGAACCAAAAAAATTAACCGTTTAAAACAATGGAGGGATCACGTTTTGGTGATCAAGTAATTAAACCGATAATTTGGATAATTAATGCGCGCGTGGAGTCATTTTTTTCGGACTAAACTACTCCACTTTTTTCCCCCCAAGTGTGGTACACGCACTGCCTATATATACCTTGCAAGGTATACCTATGAGTTTGATATTATTTTCCGGGGATAGCCATTATGTATTAATCCACGGTTTATGAATGGGATAAATGTCTAGATTTTACTGCTTTGAAAATGTTTTGGTAACTTATCATTCATGATGTGGGTATTAGTGATTAGTGGTCGAAATTCAAAATTCCTAAATCCATTTTAGTGCTACCTTAAATGTGGGTTTGCTGTTGCAAGAATTATACAATAAGCATTCTCGCTTTTATTCTTCTTCCTATAAATTGGGATCAAAAGCTTAATTAGAAAAGGGCGAACTCACAAACTATTAGGAAGAAAACAACACTTGCTAAATGAAAAGAATTTGTCTCCAAGTCACAAGTAGAACTTGCTTTCCTTTAAGCTAAATTCACCCACTATATTGTGCAATTATTTAGGCGAATTCCCTACGAGATAAAATGGAGATCTAACCAAAACAAGATGCACTTAGTGTTTGGTTACCAAAGCAAGGATAAGAATTGTCATTAGAACTATTCTAAGTATTTGAAAATTCTTTTCTGCAGCAAAAACCTCTCAAATAATCCATATTTATAGAGTTCTAGTGACTCTTAAGATTAAACACAACACTTAGTTGATGTCTCTCCAGATTTTAGATGATTAGACACCACTTGTAATTAGTGTTTTTTCATTTGGAATCCTTAGACACAACTCTTGAATGTTTGACATGTGTCTCCGCATTTATATTATGAAAGTTTTCAAACCTATCACAATATATGGAAGATAATTCCAACATAAAACACGTTATAGATCATGTTCTATGTATATTTTGTTAAATCGTTTCACGCAAAACTACCATTATTAATACTATAGTAAAAAGACACGCAATTATGAACATCAAATAGCTAGCTATTCTCTTTTCCATGTGCAGCTCATCACCCAACTATTAAACTAATTAACAAAAAGATTAACATAGGCTTTGTATGTTACAAATGAAAAAAAAAAAATGAAAGAAGAAGAAGATGAGCATGATATATACGTTTCGTGTTAAAAAAAATTAAGTTGGATTAACAATGATACCTTGAGGAATCCAGGTTTGTCGAAATGAATCTGTCACGTCTTTTTATGCTACTAACAGCAGTATTGATACAATTACTAGGAGAATATATAGGCACCGCATTTTTCGAACAAACAAGGGAGTCAAAGAAATGCATGTTAAAATCGAGTTAATGGAAATTGTTGATAATTCATTCACTTGTTTTAGTCTCTTTTAGGGCCATAATCAATTTTGAAAACTGGAAATAAAAATTCGTGCGAAACGCAAACTTTGTTCCAATTAATAATACGCCGATAAACATTTCTTTACAGATTAAATAATATTCTACTCTCTCTATGCTGAAAGAAATTATATCAAAAGTCGCAATGAAAACCCAAAAAAAAAAAAAAAAAAGGAAGATAAAGAAATGATCAGAAGCTTTGGGTACATTGCTAACATATGACCACTTGGATACATGCCTCTGCTCAATTAAATCACATGATAAAACATCAAATTTACTTCTCTAACAATTTTTAATGATGAAATATGAGAAGTTGAAGTTTGATTTTCTTTAATGCAGCAAGAACATCCTTTATGGTGATTCTTTCTCTTGGGGATTCCTTTGTGCAATTTAGTGCCACTTCCATTATAGAACATATAATTTTCATTATTTGATTGAAGTTTACTTCATCAGAGCGTATAATATTTGCATCTATCACCGTAGACAATTCACCGGGCATAGAATCGCACACCCAGCTCCTGAGATTGAACTCCTCCTCAAACATCTCGTCGGTCGGCTTTGTTCTAGTAAACACTTCCATCATCATGATTCCATAGCTGTACACATCGCAGCTTGGAGATACTAACCCTTCTCTTCCATATTCTACAAGTAATAGTATAGAGACCAAGAAAATGTTGTGAAACTATTTATGATGAAAAACTCGACATCTTAATTAAATAGGAAGAAGATTAAAAAAAGGGGGGGGCGCATTAAGGAAAGAGAAAGGTTAAATTTTATGAGTTACAACTCATACTTTTTACCTGGTGCAACATAACCGAATGTAGCGATTGTATTTGTGTATATGAAACTGTCCTCTTCCCTCAAGAATTTTGCAATACCAAAATCACTTATATGTGCCACAATATCCTCATCCAACAAGATGTTGCTGGGCTTTAAATCGCAGTGAACCATTGATGTCGAATGGTCATTGTGAAGGTATTCTAGTGCAGTGGCTACATCGATCATTATGTCCAAACGCTGCATAATGTTCAGGAAATAGTTGTTTGAATGCAACCACTTTTCAAGACTACCATTGTGCATGTACTCAAGTACTAATGCCTTAAAATCTGGCATAGAGCAATTGCTAATGACTCTCGTGAGATTTCTATGACGAATGTTGCATAATATTTCGCATTCTTTGCTAAAACTTTGAAATGCTCCTTGAACTCCTGAATTGAACACTTTAATGGCAACAATTCTCCCTCCCTCTAAGATACCTCTATAAACAGTTCCAAAGCTTCCTTTCCCCAACACATTGCTCTCATGGAACCGATCAGTTGCATTCGCTAGCTGGTAATACGTAAATCTTTCGTGCCCAACAACTAACTGTGCATCCATCATAGTTGGAACCAGACCCTTCTCTCTCCTCAGGCATTTAATGCAAACAAATGCCAAGGTGATAGTCCCTGCAGTAGAGGCCAAGCCAAGCATAATATACAAAACCATATGCGACCTAATGTTTCTCCATTTAGAAGGTCGTGATTTTGGGCATGATGGCACGTGGAACCTCGAGGCTCCACAAAGTGCTTTGTTTGAAATGAAAGATTCACTTGTTAAGTTTTGAAAGGGACCACGAGATGGAATTTCACCACTCAACCGATTGTAAGAAACATTAAAGTAATATAGGTATTGTAGCGTTTCCAATGCCATTGGGATAATCCCAGAGAGATCGTTATGTGACAAGTCCAGTCTCTTCACACTTACCATCTTTCCCATTGACTCTGGAATCGATCCATGAAATTGATTGAAGGCTAGAGAAAAGTTTTCTAGGTTTTGTAGATTCCCAATTGTGCTTGGAATATCACTTGATAGGTTGTTGAATGAGAAATCAAGTTGTGTTACAACTTTTAAGTTTCCAACTTCAGGAGATAGAGGCCCACTCAATAAATTTTTTGAAAGATTAAGCTCCAAGAGGTCTTTGAGGTTGAACAAGCTTGCTGGTACAGTAGAAGCAAATCTATTTGAATTTAAGAGGAGGTGTCTTAAAGAGGTAATGTTGCCCAAACATTCGAGAGTTGGCTCAAAAATCTGATTTCTGCTTAGATCTAAAGTGTCCAATTTTTGTAAGCCGCACATAACATGCACTCCCTCATCCAATTCATTGTTGTGTATAGTTACAACTTGAAGTTGCTGCAAACCCTTAAATGTTTCAGGAATCGACCCTACCAATTGGTTGTTTTCTAGGCTTAGAAAGATTAAACTAGATAAGTTTCCAAATGCTTTTGGAATTTTGCCTTCGATCTTGCAATCTGGCGCACTAAACTCTTCAAGAGAAGTAGATAAATTGCCAATTGACTCTGGGAGATAGCCACTTAGCGGATTTTCATCCAAATACAATTGTGTCAAGAACTTGCAATTTGTCAAGGAAGTTATAAATCCAAGTTCAGAATTTGGAGAGTCGCTTGTGAAGAAGTTATAATCAAGACTCAAAGTCTCAAGTAGTCTAAGATTTCGTATAGAGTTAGGAATTGAACCCACAAAGTTGTTTGAATCGAAGTCGATCCATTTGAAACTGGAACAGTTTGAAATGGACTTAGGTAAAGCACCACCAAGGTGGTTTACGCCAAGAAGAAGATCTTCTAAATAAGGAAGTTTATCACACATATTAGATGGAAGATTTCCTGATAGGCTATTCTCAGCAAGGAGGATCCAACTGATAGACGAGATATTGAAAATCTCAAAGGGAACGGTACCATTTAAATTGTTACCTAGAAGCTCCAGTAACTCAAGATGCTGAAGTCTTCCCAACTCCTTTGGTATGGTACCTGCCATGCAAAATTTATTTCATTTTACAAATTATATATATATATATATATACACTGAGTCACCCATAATTGATTTTGTAATATATACGAGTACCTGCCAAATTCGTCTCAGAAAGGGATAGTTGCACGAGCATAGTCAAGTTACCCATTTCTTTTGGAATTTCCCCTGCAATTAAATGGAGTTCAAATTCAAGTCATGGATAGAGTTAAAAGTTTGACATATAAATCCCTAGTCACGATACGGTACAAAAGTAAGCTCCACCTACAATTCAATAGGAATAGTGAAGTTCGTAACATACAGAGTTTAATTTGGTGTAATCTAAGTTTAAATTACATGCATGTGTATATAAAGTAATAGTGAAGTTCGTAATATACAGAGTTTAATTTGGTGCCGGAAAATTTGGTGTAACCTAAGTTTTAATACCAAAGTACTCCGTACGTACCTTCCAGATCATTGTTGCTGAGATCGAGCCCTTCAAGTGCTTTCAAACTTCCAATTTCTTTCGGTATGAATCCATCAAAATGGTTGAAAGACAAGGACAATAAATCAAGTTCCGCACATTGAGATACACCGGAGGGTATTTGGCCATTTAACTTGTTAGTTGACAGATCGAGCCATACAAGTTTTTTAAGATGGTTACAAATTGAACTTGGCAGACTACCGGATAGGCTGTTGTTCGATAAAGCAATAAATTCAAGAGATGAAATATTGAATATCTCATGAGGAATAGGACCCGAAATTTCGTTGGACACCATAACTAATTCTTTCAAATTCTGAAGATTTCCGAAACTCTTGGGAATACTTCCTTGAACAGAAGTAAACGATAACCATAAATGCTGAAGATTTGTTAGGTTGGAGATAGAGGTTGGGATATTTCCAACAAAACTATTATTCCTAAGACTCAAGAATTGAAGTTGATGCAAGGACCCAATCCATGATGGAATCTCACCATAGTAATTGTTGTTGCGGAAAAAAAGAACTTTTAGGCGCTGAAGATGTGATAATTCTTCTGGCAATTCGCCATGAAAATCATTACCAGAAATATCAAGCGAAACTAAAAAAGAGAGGTTCCCAAGATGTGGAGGTATCGTGCCGGAAAGACCCATGTTTGAAATATTCAAGGCGGTGACTCTGCGATGACGACGAGAACCACAAGTGACGCCAATCCAATCACAGACTGATGATGAAGTGCCGAGGGACCAGTTCCTTGCCAAAATATGGTAAGGATCATATGTAATTTGATTTTTGAATGCCAAGAGAGCATCTTGATCAGTGGAGATATTATTGAAATTAGTCAAGCTGCTTGAGCAATTAACTACCACTACAAAAGAGAGAAAGAACAGACATCCTATTGGGGAAACTTGGTACGGCATTTTTTGGTTAATCGAGGGATAGCTTGAGAGAATTTGTTTATGCACGCAACAAACTTATATCGCTACTACTAGTATACACCCTGTTCCAGAAATTAAAAGAAATGGTAAAAATACCTAATTTTGTTAATAATTGAGAAATTGCTAGTGGATGACCAAGACTTTGGTGGAAGACAAAAATTCTGGTAGGATTTTCTATCATTACCAGGTAAAGTTAAAGATAGAGAATGGCGATCTATGCACATATCTGTAATTTCTTTCGTCTGCTGGGGAGATTCCTCTAGTGTGGAAATTAATCTAAGCACCCCTGACACAAATAAGGCTTTGTCTTTCACTTCTTATTTACTCTCCCATTCAGTTTGAATTTTTACTTTTTTTAAAAAAAAAATTAATATACATTAATTTTAATATATAATTTATGATTTATAATGTGCACTGTTTTTTGAGGACAAAGAAAATATTAAAATTAAAAAATCAAACTAAACAAATAATTTGAAACAGAGGGTATTTATTTATTTCTTTGAGAAAACTTTTGTGTTACGGTTGCTTTGGTTGATAGCACTAGCTCGAAGTCATCGAGTGTGTGGAAAATTGGTTTATTTTATGTAGACATTGACCGAGCAGACTAACACCTAACCCCAAATTCTTACCGATCCTTTAATTAGTCCAATTAGCATCCATTCTTTTTCAAAAGTTATAGATTCTTAACCAGATTTTCTCATGAGCTAATGGGGAACAAACAAATTAAGGACATTCTGCAATTTAAAAGTTTCTGTAAGTATTTCTACGATCATAAATCAAACTTAGACTGCACGGTTCAGTAGGAGCACATCTACAAGAAAGCATATCACTTAGGGTGCATTCTGTGCACTGAAAAGGGAATGGTGGAATGATAAAGTCATTCCTAATCGAAAAAAAAAGTCAATTTATTAAAGAAATTTTCAATTTTCTTTACGTGCTTCGGAAAAAAGCGAAACTTTAGACTCTATGCAACGTTATCACCGGAGACAGGATGATAATTTCCAACACCCTGGATCGCGTGGATTCTCATAATCCAGAGGATGATGCTTCCCATTCTCAGTCGTAGTTTTTTAATGAAACGGTTTTGTGTTTACATGATGAAAAAAAATAATCGAGCATTAGATGTTGTGCTCAGTAGTGTGTGTGAGTTTTGACAAAGATTGATCATGGTTACTACTCACATGAGTATCTACTGCAACATTAAAAGTAAAGTGATTAGTCGTACATAATAAAAGGACATGCAATTACGAACATCAAATAGCTAGCTTTATAATATTCTATTTTCAATACGTAGCTCCACATCACCTAACTATTAAAGTAACAAAAACATTAACAGAGGTTTGTCGTTGTAAATCACGCCTTTTTCTGCTACTAAGAGCAGTGTTAACACCATGACTTGGAGACACAGCACTTTTTGAACTAACGAGCGAGTTATGAAATTCACGTTAAAATCGAATTAATGGAAATCATGATTCGATTTAAAGACTTCGACGAAACAAACCATAACTTTGTTCTCCATCAGTCCAAAAAAATAATTAAAAAAGTCATCTGGTTTTGTTGATAATTCATTCCCTTGTTTTAGTTTCTTTTATGTCCAAAATGAATTTCGGACACCAGGAAATGTTGAGGCGTATTATCTGCCCTACATCGCCACCGTAAAGACAAGTGACTTAGTATATAAGTATCAAAGGCCACCCCACTCATCGCCAATTGGTTTTGAGATGTGAGCACAAAGTGTTTATATACTTTGACATGGTATCAGAGCGGTCTGAGCCTGTGGTGATGTTCTGGGCCGAAGGTGGCATGTGGTAATTTTATATTTCTCCCACTTGAGAGTTGATTCGTGCGCTTGTTGTGGGCCGATCTAACGGTATAACTGGTTTTCTCCCACTTGAGCGTTGACTCGTGGGCTTGTTGTGAACCGATCCACTGGCTTTCTCCCACTTGAACGTTGACTCGTGGGCTATTTTGTTCTTATCCTGATTCAAGTCCATTGGGCAAAAGTTCAAAGACCCATTGGACCTGAGAGAGAGTGTTGAGGTGTATTAACTATCCCACATCACCATCGTGAAGAGAAGTGACTCAGTATATAAGTGTCAAAGGCCACCCAACTCATTGCCAATTGGTTTTGTTGTGGACCAATCCAACGGTTTAACTGATTTTCTCCCACTTACGCGCTGACTCGTGGGCTTGTTGTGAACCGATCCACTAGCTTTTTCCCACTTGAACGTTGACTCGTGGGCTATTCTGTTCTTATCCTGATTCAAGTCCATTGGGTAAAAAGTTCAAAGACCCATTGGACTTGAGAGAGGGTATTGAGGTGTATTATCTATCCCATATTGCCACCGTGAAGCGAAATGACTCAGTATATAAGTGTCAAAGGCCACCCCACTCATTGCCAATTGGTTTTGTTGTGGACCGGTCCAACGGTTTAACTGGTTTTCTCCCACTTGAGCATTTGACTCGTGGGCTTGTTGTGAACCAATTCAGCGGTATTACTAGCTTTCTCCCACTTGACCATTGACTCGTGGGCTATTCTGTTCTTATCCTGATCCAAGTCCATTGGGCAAAAAGTTCAAAGACCCATTAGAGTTGAGGGAGGGTGTTGAGATGTTATTATCTGTCCTGCATCACCACCGTGAAGAGAAGTAACTCAGTATATAAGTGTCAAAGGCCACCCCACTCATTGCCAATTGGTTTTGAGATAGGAGCCCAAAGTACTTATATATTTTAACAGGATATAAAAATTTGTACAAAGTTCGCATAGTCCATACTTTGTCGCAAACTTCTCCCACACCTTTACGCACTTTGTCGCATTCAGTGTGTGTCCAACTCTTTGACAAAGGGGTCTCAACTACTGCCCAGGAAATTTTCCTACAATGTTAGCCTTCATGTGCTCTAAGCAGACTCGGTGCACGCCCATATCAGAAAATTATTCGAGCATCATGTCCATAGCAGAAAGGATACCCAAGTGCCGATCAGAGATAATGCATATCTCCCTGTTCTGGATAACAAACTCCTTCAAATATTTCAGGAACAACTTTCAGCTGGGAAAAGTCTCCTCATCTACCAAAGCAAATGCTACAGGAACAATGTTGTTATTTGCACTCTAGCACACTGACATCATCAATTTTCCCTTGTATGCACCTCGGAGGTGGGTTGTGTCGATGCTAACAACCGACATAGAAGCTTAAAACAGATTATAGATGGCCAGAAGTCCAAAAAACACACCTCAATACCCTCTTGTCTAAATCTTTAGTGTCTTTTGCGAACTTGTGCTTCACCTTAGTACTAGGGTTGGTTGCACATAGTGCAGACATAAAATCAGGCAAATCTCTGATATTATCTTCCTAGCTACAATAAATACTATCTAGTGCTTTCCTCCTCCCATGTCATGCCTTCTTGTAGCTTACATTCACATGGTACGCATCAAAGATATTTTCTTGAACGAGCTTGACTTTGTAAGTTGGCTCTAACCGAACACTAGGTGCGACAAGTCGAGCAACCAGTGTCGACGTCATGTTTTGGCTGTCTTTCTTGTTGTTTTCCCCAAGACAAGTATGGGAATCCGACCATATCACCACTTTCCATAAGTATGTATCATCCTGCTTCGTCACCCGTACCCACCAATTGCATGGAATGCCGCCAAGGCGCTCTTGAGGATACTTTGGAGATGACGTCGCACATTTTACACACCATCTTGACCCATCAGATTTAACAGTGATGAAAGTTCTACCTCGATCAGTGGACCATTTGGTCACAGCATCCTGTGCATCATCTTTGCACAAGAAATGTACCCCAGCCTTAATATGATCAATGACACAGTCCCACATCTTTTCAGCATAAGTATCATTCTCCATAGGAGGATTGTCCCATCCACTTATGTCGACGTAAGCCTCATAAGCCTTCCATCTGGAATTAACAGATGCACTAGTGTCATTGCCATCTTCTTCATCAGAGGATTCACCTGATGGGACGTGTTCGTCGTCACTACCAGCCTGTTCCATGACTTCCTCTTCACCCCTTTCATCTACACTGTCTTCATTTTGACTATCAGTATTTGTACCTGCACCTCTTGTACCTGCACCACTAGCTTGCCCATATGAATCAACCCCATCAATTGGCGCAAAACAAACGTACAATTTAGGCCAATTCTGTGACACTAGGTATATCAACGGTATACCCTCGTCGTCGTGAATATGCATATAACCCCATCTAGCAGAACTATCAGTCCACACAAGAACATAACGTACTGTCACTATTCCCTTATCAAAACCAGCAGCTCTACAGACCTTGTCCACGAGTTCAATGTAATTCAACTCGAGGTCAATAAATATTGTTTTGTCTGCCATTCTGTTGTTCATAGCAACAATTCTATTTACAATTTAAATACCGCTAGTCTAGTACATATTCAGACCAAACAGACCAGGGAAAGACATTTTCGTTACCTGTACAAATAATTTAAACCCTAAATTAAAATGTATCCAACAGTTAATACAGAAAATATAAAGCGACCGTCTGATTCAAATGCTTTATTCAACTATCTAATTTAAATAAATTACTTATCTCATCTTCACATCTATACATCTATTAAATCTACATTCTAATCTTTTTACCAAAAACAAATCTATATTCTAATTTCGTTCCTATACCCGGCATAAAGTCTAGAATTAATTCAACCACATATTTATCTTTAAAATACATACATTCAACCAATTCACCCATTTCATACATCAAAATTATATCATTCATCTCATAATTCTACAATAAAATATGAAGACAACAATCTATGCAATAAAGGGTGCAAATCTAAACATTATTCAGATGGCAGAGAGTAGAAACTTACCAAAACGATTCAAACACCAATCCTTCTTTCAAATATCCGCATTGCTTTCGCCAGAATTTTGCATTTCCGATTGGAAGCTCCCAAAGCTGAAAATCATATAAGGAAGAATGAAAGAAATACTCGTTCGCGTTCTGTTTTGACAGATATTTGTACCAAATTCCGCATAAGAGGAATGCGGCTTTGTAACTTTTTTTTTGTCAGCTGTCACGTGTCATTACCGCAAGACTTGTTCAAGTTTTCTGGATAAGACTTAAAACCATATAGGAGGAATGCAGTTTTTGTTTCCGCAAATGGAGTATGCGATTTTTGATTTGAACATTCAAATTTTGCCGCTTTATGAAATTATTTTATTAAAATTGTAATTGTCAATACCGCATTAACGGCTTGCGGATTTATTTTATTAATTTTTTATTCGACATCAAATTTCCTGTCGGTTTTGACTTTTAAAAAAAAAGTTAAAGAAACCGCATTCTGTGTACACGGTTTTTGTAATTCATTTCATTAATATTTCCGCAATGCTATATTGTGGAAAGGGTATTTGCTTCTACAATTTAAAAACCTAGAACCATACGTGTCCACAAATGGTTATTTCAAAGGCATTAATCTTAAGCTCCCTGCCATTTTTAGAGTTTTTCTACTTTAGGACAAAAGTTCACAACTGTACTGTACATGCTACAAATATAGTAAAACCTTAAGATGGGAAATGGGGCTAAGATGGAGTACAGTACTCATTTTTTATCCTAAAATAACATTCATGTATGTTATATCCATAAAAACAATTAATTTTATTCAGCTAAAACCGCACAATAAAATAAATACTCACTCTGTACTAAAAAAATAGTCTAGATTCAGTTTTGAGATCTGTATTAAAAATAATATAATTTAAAAATTCAATGTGGACAATTTTTCTAAATAGTGCTATTAATTTTATTTTTTTGGATCAGTAGCGGATCTATAAAAGAGATTTAGAGGGGGCGGAAACAAATTACAATGCTCACCGTCCAAAAATATAGTTTTTAACATAAATTCCAAAACTAAATGTCAAACATTTTTTTTGGGGATATAGAGAGTATGTTGTTATTGCCATGATTAATTTCTCAAAATTCAATAAATTGAACCATTTTTCCACGTTTAAGGCTTATAAAAGAAAAAAAAAACACAACTACATCATTTTATTTTTTCAAAAAAAAAATTCCGCGTACAGCCAAAAGCAAAACAAAAAATTGTTCCATGAAATTAATGTATCATTTATACAATAATAACATGAAAAAATGCAAATTGGAATGATTTATGATTTTTTATTTTATAATTCTATTTATGTCCTTATCTTTGTTTCATGAATACTAGGTGCTTGTCCGGATATTGCCCAACCCATTTACAATAATATATTTTAAAATTAAATATACAAATGGTAAAAGTTTTTTCCAACTTTAACTCAACTTGTTATGTTTAAATTTAGAAAATAATTAAAAAAATCATTTATTTATATCATTAATGCTTTATTATATTAATATTTATTGATTGATTGTAATTACGGACAAGAAAAGTTAACACAATTAAAGATTATAGAAATTAATTTTTTCACAACACGTCAGCCTTTTTGCCAGCCTTTTTGTTTCTCTTGGACTATTGTTTTAATAGGATATATAGATATGCATTCTTCATGTTTATTTAATTCATCAACAATTACAACTTTTATGACCTTTCGAAACAAATCATGGCTTGATATAATTTCAACTTCATGGGCTATTTTAACTTGGGCCAACTCTTGTTAAAGAAAAATAAAATAAAATAAAAAACCAATTGAAATGCTAAACAAAAATCGCAAAATATACAAAAATTAATGGTGAAAAAGAAATTACATAATAATTAATATATATGTATATATACAATATTAAAGGACTAAATCTGCCAGTGTTTTGGATGAACCGATGAGTGTCTTTTTTCTTTTTATGGAAGAGTGAGTTTTAGATACTGGCGTGATGTATGCATTTCACGCAAGAGATTCATTTTATTGCTCATACGATGTCGACATTGAAGAGCTAACTATAAGCACCATTGCAAGGAAGTTTCACCAAAAAAAAAGACGTAGTTAGTCAAACCAATTTCGAAGGACATTTTGAATCATCTCGATGAAAGTGTTCTTTTTTTTTACTAATTTTGGAACTTATAGAGAGAAGAAGATGGTACGTCCGGAGATATTTCTTCTCTTTTTCTATTACGATCTCGTTGTTCAAAATTATTGTTTTGACTAATCGCAATTTAAGTTGAGTAAATTTTTTCAGGAAACATAATTATTTGAATATTTATTGTAATCATTATTGCATGTCCATGTCCAAATTAGATCTTTAAGTCATAATTAACCTAGCTTTGTAGGTGAAATGGAGCCTAATTTTAACCAAAATGGTTTCTTTCTGCTTTGATTTTTGCATCCAACGAATGAAGCCTTTTGGAGATCACGTGTTTAACCGTATTAAAGAATTCTTATCCATTTAAATTTGTTTTTTAAAAAACGGATGTTCCTTTCATATATGACCCGAGAGATGAAAAACGACTGTGCTTTTTTCTTTTTTTAAAAAAAATAATCACTTCATAGAAATTCAATTATACAGATTGAAAGTTTGTTCAAATTCTCAGAAGGTTTTCTTTATTTTTATAGATAACAAGTGGATAAATTAACTTTAGCTCTTCAATTTGAAATACAATCAAATTGGAGATAAAATATATAATAGATAGAAAAACGGAGAATCAGTAAGTGAATTGTAGATATGCAAGGTTAAAATTTGTAAAAATAAATAAGAGTTACTCTTTCATTAGATTTGTGTATTACAACTCTTAAAATAAGTCTATCATCTGTTATGAACTTGATCACGATATAAATTGCCTAATTTCTGTGCTTCAATTGTCGCACGTGTTGAAGTTATCCAAAGTCTCCTATACCCCAGAGTCCCTTCTCTGCTTGCAAGTTGAAACTTTGTAATTTGATATCTTTTCCCACTTTAATGCCTCTCAATTTAGCGATTCAATCATTTTGATCTTGAATAGTTTTTAGCACCATAAAATTGGCAAATTGAGATCTTTCTATCAAATTTTGCATTATAATTGAAAATTGGTGAAGTAAGAGCTTTGGTAAGCCAATTGAAGCATGTCGTGATCATGGTCGTATGAGTCCCGAAAATTCTCCAAATCGGAAAGATAACCCTCATAACTTGATCTCAATAACTTCTTCATCCAATCTTCTGTGTGAGGTGATTCGGAGAAATCAGCATACTGATCGCAATACTACAACAGAAAATTTATGTTCAAATTGCTAGTTAATATAGCTCATTAAAAAAGATCCCAAAAAAAAAGAAAAAGAAAAAGAAGTACTTAATCAGTTTGTGATCATTTTACCTCAAAACCATCATATGGTACGACAGAATGAGTGTAACGCTTTGGAACGCCAGCCGAATCCCTAGAACGATGAAATTCTTGGACATACACCATCATCTCCTCTGTTGATGGCAACTTCTTTTTCCCCGAGAGGAGTTGGGCTACCCATTTTGCTTGTGACTCGAAGAACGGAAACCCTAACACCTGTTCAAAAGAAGATGAAGAATGAGAAGAAGAAATAGTTGCTTTCTTAGATTGAAACTTCTGGCACATTTCAATGAAAGGATTGAAAAGTTGTATCATCTCTTCTCCTAACAATTCGAAATTTCTGGCTCCGCCACTATTGGATTACTTCAGCTAACGTAAGTTTGGGGGCGTTTTCAATGGCTGCTACGAAGATAGAAGCTGAAATAGGTAATCATACAGTATTATTCAAATGGTGGAAAATGACAATCTACCTACTAGAGCACACGGAAAGCCTTCTTCACGCAATCAATCAGAGAGATAAAAGACAGAGCATGGCCATAAGAAAGTTTATTTTACAACGTGCCGATTATTTGGTTTCTTTGGCGACGTCGAATCTGGTAGGTTTAGTCATACTGGATTCACACCACCCATTATTAGATCATTTTTACGGAATGATATTATTGAAATAGTCTATCTCTATTATATATTATCCCGTAATTGTCAATGTATCTATCATATATATTTCCAAAAAAAAAAAAGAAAGAGTTACCATTTTGGGAATACCAACGAATGAAAGTGAAGGCGCAAGAAGAGGCGGGAACGTATGATGATAAAGAGGGCCAACTCTATCCTCATCAATGGATACTATTCCTTTGGTGTCGAGAAATGGGAATGAATATGAATATCTGCCACACAATCATTAGATCATTTCATTAGAAAATGTCAAAATATCCATATTCTTTCGATCAACCCATATATGAGTCTTACTTCAGAAATTCAGAAACTCGATGCTCCTTCCATTCTCAAAAATAATAACAATAAATAAATAAAATCACCTGTTTATTATACTAAAATTTGAGACACAAGTACAACTGTAGTAGTTACGAATATAGCTATTTCTCCCACTTGCGCATTTTATTACTTAATTACTGATGTGGCGGAAATAACTTCTTTCTTTTTCTCAGTATACTTGTCCATTTTGTTGTACTCATTTAATTCAATGAAGTGGAATAATTAATGGATCATTAAATGTTAAAAAGAATAAGAAAAAAAAGAACAGATGTATTTCACTATCACAATCCCCTAGCTCACACCTACTACAGTATAAAACAACTGATTGAAACACTAATTAACTCATTATCCCTTGATCTTGCAGATCTATGCGATGGGATCATTAACCAAATTAAGAGTTTTCAACTTTCTGATCAGCTGACTAGATAGCTAGAAATCATGTGAGGTGCGGGGTTCAACTTATATATATATGTACATATGAGAGTGTGTGTGTGTGTGTGTGTGTGTGTTTGTTTCTCACATGCATCCAACTCATAACTCATAAGCTTGGATTTCGTTTTTTGTAATCGATGAAGTTGTGTGAACTTGGATGGAGTTTGTATGCAATAAAACCCCCTTGGAAAAATAATAAAAAAGAGAGTCGACTTCTTAGATAATTTACGAACCGCTACTTACTACTATTGACCACATTCATGGTAGGATCATGGGGAAAAATTTACCCTGTAGCATATATTACCGTGTCAGCAATAATCCAACCACCATCGATAAATAAAACTCGTCCATCCTCATGCATTGATTCTACCTACAAATTCAATATTAATTTGAACCAGTCAAACAATATCGATTATAATGAGAAAGGGATTAATATACAAACTTGCAAAATATAATATATATATATATATATATATATTTGTATGTATGTATGTATGTTTGTGTGTGTATGAGAGTGTTATTTTGACATACCATAGGATGAAGGTAAAAATTCTCATGTTTGTCAATGACTTTGGACAGGCCTTCTGTAACGTTTAAATCTTTCACGCTCAAATGTATCTCCTTTGCCACACTAGTTAGAGCCATTGAAATATCTTGTCCACTTAATGAATTTCCAACAATCACCACCACCTTAATGATCACAACCAATTTACTATTATGATGATTAAAAAAAAAAACCATGATTGAAATTTTAACATTACTAATAGTTTGCTTGGTGGATTTAGCATTACCTCATTCTTAAATGGGTGTGGGACTCTGTACACGTGGCTGTGCATTTGCTTCCTTTTCCATACATCCATGCCTTCAAGACAAATCAATATTCTTGTAAACGATCACACTTATATTAAATCGGCTATTGAGTGTTTTCATCATGAAATCAATATTCTTACTTATTTCAGTATTAACTTAAAACACAAATATGCCGACAACCTTAACATCTTTTGTTCCTGAAAAATTGTACAAATTGACTTGAGATTTTTCTTAAAAATAGTACTCTCTTATAGTATAAAATGTACTAAAAATGATAATCTAAATTGAACAATAATTTTGAGACAGAAGATGTATATAAATCTTAAAATTCAATGCGAATTTTTTTTTTTTTGGGATAAATAAAGTATAAAAGAAAAGTTTGAATCGGACAAAAGCGATGTGAGGAAGCCGTGCGCATACGTACCTTTGATGGTAGGCAACCAAGGCTGCGAATAGTGGCCGGAGGCAACAACCACGGCGTCAAAGACTTCTTCTGCCACCACCGGCGCGGCCGCCTTCTGATCAACCTTGTTGTGGACACCTTGCTTCTCCTCAATTGCACTTCTCACAATCCATTTCAAATCCTCATGAACAACAACATCACCGCTTTCTGTATAGTTCACCATTCCAACATATTCCACCTTACTATTAAACCTAATCATATCCCTTATTCCAAACCGTTCACAAAAATCTCGCAAGTACCTAAGCACTTCACCATGTCCAGGGTACCTCCTAGAATCCCCACCTCCATCCTTTGTTGGAATAAATGGAAAATCAGTGAAACCCATGATTTCCCTTGGAGAAAACACCCTTAAGTTTGCATAAATGCTGCTATGAACCTTTTGGGCACGTGTAGGGTTTCCCAATGGGTCCTCATCTTCAACATTTGGATCATAAAGCCATTGACCTCCAATATCAGGCTTTTGTTCAAGGACAACAACATCATGGCCTTCCTTTCTCAGCTCCCTTGCTGCCACCAAACCTGATGGACCTGCCCCAATCACACATACACGTTTGGAAACCACATTTCCATTTTCCTCCAAAACCATGATTTATATTTTGTTGATCGATTTGGAAGAATTGAAAAGATTTCTACACAGATTAGCTGCCTGAAGAAAATTGAAGGATTTCTACGTAGAATGGCTATAGCTTGTTAATTATATGGTCACAATCACAAGTTCTGAAGAAACATATTATATGTGTAACAGGTAGAAAATCAATATCTGTTTCATTTGTTTATATATCTTTGTGTGTGTGTGTCATCAACTTGATTATTTGGATCATGATTTGTTAATTAAAAAAAGGTTAAAAAAAAGAGATTTGATGCTGAAATAAAGATCTCTAGTTCGTCAGAAATAAATTAAGTGGATATAAATATAACCATTATTCATTATACAAGAAAGCATTATTGGCGGGCAAGAGAATCTGCACCTGCACTTTAGTTTTTTTTTTATGTCCTATTTCTTATACAGTCCCCCCACGTTGTCACATGACTGAATTTATAATTGGTAATTGATTAATGTTCTCTTTATCAGTTTCAATAATTGATGATTATTTAATTAAATAATCGTGAAAAGTTGGCATATTAATTATTGTTATGCACGTTATTTCGGAGCTGTTCTTCTGAAGTTGGAGACAAATTAGCTTAAGGTGTACATGTTAATTGGTCTCATTTGCAAAAGCAAAGGGTCTATGAACAAGTTTTTCCTCCAACATTGTACGTTACACAACTCAAGAATGAATCGTTTTGAAGACAAGAGAAATGATGTGATCAATAATAGGTTATTAGGAATCATTTCCAATCATGATAATTATTGTATTTTATTTGATCATATAATAGATTTTTAGAATCAGGTGAAACTTGGTATGAAGAAATGATAAAGGGTTGAAGTTAAAAATACATGTGAAGAAAAATTCAGTATGGTTCTGCCAGGACTCTTCAAGTCAACGACAGAAATTTCTTTTTCTTTTTTTTTCTACTAGTTTTTTCATTTTAAGGAATTTTAACATCCTTCTTATGCGTTATTTTATCCAGAGTTACATCAAGAAAAGGATTTTTGAAGTTTTAATATATAGTGAACAAAGAAAGATAAGTAACAACAAGAGTATACAAAGAAGCATTAAAACCGTACAGTTCATTTTTAAATTTGTACTGAAATGACCTTTTGGCAGGAAAACAAATTAATATGGAGTTGATACATGTCCTTTTTTGTTTGTTGCTGTAACTTGTAAGTACTATGTATTTGCATTAAAAATAAAAATCAAGCTGGACAATAATTTCAGGACAAAGAGAGTACTTATTTTTAGAGAAATTCACACAAATTAATAAGAACTTAATTATGGTGTGTAAATTATTAAGTTATTCTTAACCTATTCTATTAAACCAAAACCGGTGTCAATACTGTTATTTACTTTCTGGAATAATTTTTGAAATTTTTCACAAAACTTTTACTGATATGAAAACGATACTTGCTTTGAAATTTTACTATTTTCCTCTTACAATATTCAAATCAGAACAGGAGAGTCATAATTGACAGTTTAGGCCTCCCTTTCTTTGTCATAAAAAGGGGAAAAAATCAATCACAACTTCTCAATCAGTCATTCGAGTAAAGAAATTGTTAAAGAATCGATAATAATCGGTTGACATATCAATATTATAAACAAAAACCCCAAAAAAAAAAAGAAAAAACTTCTCCATCAATCATTCCAGTAAAGGAATCAATGCCAAACATGCAATAAGTAGTTGACGTAACAACTGAGCGACTATCAATTCAAGAACCAATTAAAACTTAATTTACTTGAGAGAGTTTTGCCTCTTGAAAAAGACTTATCCGGCTCGAACTCGAATTAGTCAGAACAATGACTTCGGACACTAGGTGCATAATGTACAAAAAGAAAACTTAAATTTGTTGACCAACCTCGAAAAGTTTTAATTATAAATTCATTATTAGAGAATAACATTTGTCATGACCGTCAATTTTGGCCGGATTCCGGCCAAATTCAGCCGAGTTAAAAAATTTTAACCGTATTAATTATGGAAGGCATATATTAATGAGGAATAAACATTTTTAAAAAAAAAAAATCACATGTGATATGAAATTATTGAGTGTCCTGACAAGGCCCAAATGATCATAGCAAATGGTATTATATTATTTTTCATGTCCCAGTACATATTTAAAAATTCAATATAAACTATTTTTTTTTTTGGACATAAGAAATATTATTATTAACTTGGGTCATTATAATGTCTTTTGAGAAAAAAAAAAATCAAAACTTCATTATTATGTGTTTGATATCAAACATATTCATAGGCTAATTTTGTTGCCAACGATCTGTCAGACATGGCAGTTCGCACTCAAGAGAAGATTTTACTCTTCCGCAGAATTTCGCATAATCACGAGAAGGAGATGGGGACAAATAGTAGTCGACAAATAAAACCTAAAGGGTAAAACAAAAAGACTACCACAACCTCAGAAAAATAATGTAAATTTTGTAACTATAAGTACAATAAGTGCATAATTTTTCTGAAAAATAGTTGCATTTCTTCTTGTTTTTCTCATTTTCGTTCTTGATCGAGTTGGCGCATGCATGACTCCATTTCTGCCTTACACTTCCTCTAAATAAGAAAACAAACATACTCAAATCACAATAACGTTTCAAATCAAAATCCTTTTGTAGACTTAAATTTTTTTACAATGTAGATTTCACATTGCTCAAAAATCTGTCACCATCACCTCCTTCGTCACTGTCATTAACCCCGCGATCATCAATTCCCTTCCCCCATCATTTCAAACAACTGAACAAATTTTTCCATGGCAAACCTCGGCAAGCAAACCGGAACCAGTACGCCTTTTTCTCCTTGTTTATTCTTGGTCGGTACGTAAGAACAATGCACTCCATTCATCTCCCCTATATCATTTCCTAAGGCTATTCCAGCATAGTCCGGTTTTCCCCACCCGAAATCCACTTCATCTAACCCGATCCGTCTCAAATCCGTCACCAAGATCGGTGATGAGATGTTAGGAATCGGCCTTCCTTTCATAACAAGCAAGCTCGCGTCGTATTTCATGTACTCCTCAGTTACCTCCAATTTAGCCTTCATCACAAGTTCCGCTGCGTATCCTAATGAGTTTTTCATCAATTCTCCGGCCGTCGTCAGCGCCAATGGGACGGCCAAAACATTGCCGTAGTACCCTTTAGGCAAAGGAGGATCAAACTTGGAACGAGCATTCACGCAGAAGAGAATCCCTACTCTTTCATTCGGGTCGATTTCGAGGGCAATGGTGCGACAGCGCCATAGACAGGCGGTGAGTACTTCAAAAGTGGAGTATTGGCTGTGGATGTGTTGCGGCAGGAAGGTCCGGAGGGTGGAGATCTCGGAAGGGCCGAAAAAGAATGATCTGCAAACCATGATTTTGTCATTCCCATCGACAACAGAAATTTGGGTTGCTTCAGAATCTGAACCAGGCGAATTGTGTTCATCATCTTGGACATTGGTGAGTTTTGGAGGATTTCTTGGATATTGTAAGAGCTCTCTACTCCAAACCGGGAGGATGGACGGGGTGGAGGCTCCTCGGGCTATTTCGGAAACCGCCGTCATGAATTGAACCAATCCACAAGCATCAGACATTGTGTGATTCAGGCGAAGGCCGAAGATGAAACCACCACACTGAAGACGCGTTACCTGCCCAACCACATCATGGACTCAAAGTCAATTTGTTTCTCTATTCAAAAATAAATTGATGCTGGAACATTTCCAAATGATCTTAAAAGAAAACGATTTTTATTATTATTATTTTTTTTTGGTAGGATTACGTAAATTGTATCAAGATGATCAACAAAATCAAAAGCTGGATAGAACCCTGAAATAATAAGGTCCTCCATTGTTATACTTTACTCATCATACATGAATTTCTGAAACTTTTTTTTTATTATTATTTTTTTAAAAATCAATTGGCACTTAATTAGTCCTTGTGATGAAAGTACTAAACAAATTTAACTATGATGATGATGATTCGGATCTTGACATGAGCAAGTATGCAACATCCTTAAGAAATCTACCGGATTCACATCTAGATTGATTGGTGATACTGTATATAGTAATTCCAAGCTCCAAAATAATAGCGAAAAACAAAAATTAATTTGCAGTTATAATCCCTTATCCTTATCACTGAACCATATACACCTTAAAAATCAACTGTTTATTACCTGTATGAGTAGCAGAGGAGAATGAAGAATTCCATCAGTGCCCGGAACGTTAAAAATCAGCTCCTTCATGCACGGGAACGGAGGCCGAATCTCCTCCCCGAATCCATCCAGCGTCACGTCGGCATCAGCCTCGATGAACATGACCCCTTCCCCCGTACACTCTACCATAAGTTTCCCTCCGGAGCCTTCTCTAAGCCTCCCAGCAAACGGATAGTAAAACACTAATGTTTCTGCCAAAGCTGTTTTGATTACCTTCAATGGGTCGTTTTCTTCCTTCTCATCATCATTTGAAAATTCGATTCTCCTTTTGTAAAAATGTATGATGTGAGTGTGATGTCGTAGGTTTTCTTGATCATCAATGTCAGATAAAGGTTTGGTTTCGAGAGGTGTTGGCCTTGCCGGTCGAACCAACTCCGGCATTTGCCTCCTCACCGTGAAATTGAAACTAGAACTCGTCAACATATCGACCGAAACACCAATGTATCAGCCAAATTAATGGGAAAAAAAAAGGACTCGGAAAGAAAATTGAAAATGCAATTGATCATGGTAGTCAAGCGAATTAATAAGTATGATTTCATGGTCAAGCACTCTATCTCCACCATCGAAATGAGGGCATTCAGCGCCAAGTGTACCACATGCATAATGCATTCTTGTAGTTTTGTTTTGTGAAGTAACAGAGACAAAACAGCAAATAAGAGCCAATTGTCACAAATCACCAACTTCTTTAATTGAGTTTGTTTTTTATGTTCAAATAGCATAAATGGAATTTAATTGTGATGAATAAGGCCCTAAATACATCTTGTAACATTATTAAAAATTGTTTTTCAAAAGCGACCAAGAATTTTCAGAACCAATCCATGAAGAAGATATAGTTATAAAAATTTCTCCAAATTTTCGTTACATATAAAAAGATTTTCAGCACCAGGCGTAAGATACAAAAACAAAGTGGCCATACTGAGAAAAGATGAAAACAAGCATTTGTGGACAGTGGTAAAACAAGCATATATATAGGAATCAGAACCATTTTCCATCTACATACCATGATATCTACAATCCTCCAAATAGCTTCCAGGAGTCAACCAATTTATGCAATTCCAGAATGGAAGAACCTCCATCCGCCATTGCTAGTTTTGCTTCCTCTTTCTTTGCATGGGATTTTTTCCCTGATCAATTTCCCTCTTCCCTCCCCCACAATCCATCAATTCCCTGACACGTTTCTCCACATCAGCTGATGTCACAAATACATTATCTCCTCCAACCACTGGTAAAGCCAATTCCATTTCTTCAACTAAGTACACTCTGTTAAGCCTCTGCTCTGCATACAACGGCCATGCCACCATAGGCACAGCCGCACAAACTGATTCCAAAACCGAATTCCACCCGCAATGCATGATATCGGTTTCTTTTCTCCTTTCCACCTTTTCGGGTGGATTTTGCACCACCCAGAGAAACCTTTTCTCACTCTTCTCCAAACCAATTGCTATTTCTTTCAGTTGCTCAGGAGAAAAAAAATCTCCCCTGCTTCCAAAACAGAGGAATACAATGCTACCGATTGACTGCCTGTCCAGCCACATTCTAAACACTGGTGCTTACGTCCTCCTTTTCTTCCCCAATCCTCTGTCGCAATTAGGGTGTCGTATGTTGAACAAAGGTGGAGTAATTCCATCTGGAATACATATTCCTTCAGAAATGGAATTCAAGACTTTGCCTTCTAGGGAATTGAAGGCGTTAGTTATGATTCCAGATGATTTATTGTACCATATCAGATGATAGCAATGGCGGCAATCCCGGAGTATGAATGATTTCATTCATGTCGTTAACCATTTTGGCTATTGATCTATGGAGCGTTGGAAGGTTAAAAAAAAGGCAGCAAGAGAATTAGCACCACCAGTGTAGAAGAAATATGTATAGGAATATCGAACTCTGCAGAAACAGAGAGAGCAGAGTAACAAAAGAAGGCGATGATGAATGCAGAAATAGTACTCTTTGAAGAAATGAACTGGAGGGTTGATGAACATAAGGGTTACAAAGTTGGAGGAAGTTATAAATAATCTATGTTAGGGGATCTGAGTGTTCGATTCATCAATATTTTAGAAATCTTGGATATTTTAGGCTAAAATGCCACACCCGACACTCATAACCACTCCAGTGTTGATACGACACGACACGGGTATTCTTCCCAAATAGGATAACATCGTAAATAATGGCTTCCATTGCAGTGTAAGAATCAAGATGAAGAGGAAGAGTAACATTGGAGTCGATGGAATTGGAAGTGGAGGCATAAACTGATTTGATGTATGAAGAAGTATCGCCAGTAAGAATTTTCCGAGCTCCACCATGGAGGTTAGGTGACTAATGCCTGGAGATGGATAGAGAACTAAAGTAGCCATTTGTGGAGATATTGGAGTGTTCTTCTTCGCTTTAGAAAATATATCTACTTAATTTATCTAAATATAAAATTAAAAACATCGATAATTTCATAAGAATCTCTCCAGGTTTGCTATAAGATACACAGAGTACTTAATCTAAATTGAACAAAAAAAAAGAAGAGAGTTTTCAACTCCACCTCTTATAGATATTCAAATTTATAATTGTCAGTCCAAAATCTGAATAAGGGGAAAGGTCAATTTTATTTTTTTTTTGTCTCTTTATTTTCAAAAGGCATAAATTCCGAAACTCGTTTCGTTTTAAGAACCTTAGACGTTAATGCGTCCCTGCTAAAGAAGACCTTTGTACCTAACAAAGAAAGACGCGGAGTCCCCCAATAAATTGCATATTTAGAACTTATACATAGAAAGAGGCACTGAAATGGTTTTTTGGAGATTATTGACTAAACCATAATCATGAAACTTGTAGACATGTCTATACTCGAGGGACATCTACAATGTCAAACACGCACAGAGAGCACCATCCATTTATTCATCATGAACTGAACGAGCTAGCTAGCTAGGGTTATGGAACGCTGGCTCAGTGACGGCGGCGTTTACTGGGGATATATTAGTTATTTGGATGCCTGGCTCAGTGTGTACAGCAGCATAATCAGACGCTTGGTGGAGCCTTTCCGGTAAGGAACTGAACGCGGTTTGGAATTCTTTCTCTATCAGGATGTTCATAATCAACATAGAAGATGCCGAAACGACAATCGTGACCCGAGCCCAGTTCAAAATTGTCCAGCAAAGACCACACGAAGTATCCCTCAACATTCTCCCCTTGCCTGCACGTACAATATCGAATCAAAATTAGAGAGTCGAAAATAGGTTTCTGCTTTTAGTTCAAAAATTCAAACTGATCAATAATTTCGGGATAAGGGGAGACGGAGGAATGTATAGTAAGTAGTCTGTACTCTTTGGCTATCTTTACGGCTCCAAGATGCTCTTTCAGGTACCGTATCCTTCAATGTCGCAAACTGCTTTCAGGTTTTTTTTTGCGGAAACATCCGGATCATCAAAACCTACACAACATACATCCTACTATATTAGAAACAAAAACCTTCCTTTCAAACACTTCATATGATTGCCACGTGGCATGTAGAAAATACTAAATTGCCCTTTTGTCTAACCATAACTAAATTACTAAATCTCCCTTTGCACTTTACGTGACACGTTTTTTTTTTTTAATTTTTTCTTTATGTTTCATTCAACTAGAGTGATTTTTTAAATTGAATTGATCAATTAGGTTTTTTGTTACAAAGTGTCAATTTTGTTTTAAGCGTATACCCTTCGGATGAAGCTTATTACAAAGCTATTAAAAATCTCCAAAACTAAGTATTGATTTGGCACGACCAATGGAGAACATCAATAAATCATCTTACTAATATTTAAATTTATTAGGATGCTTTTATATTTTATCTAACATTTACTTCAACACATATATTCGATTAAGCTATTTATATTTAATAAGTAACACTTATAAAACATTTCTAAAACATACATGGCGAAATACAATTTATTTTTTTTTTTTTGCGAAGTACAAATATTTCTATGATCACACTTATAAAACATTTTTAAATCCTTCAAAAATTTCTAAAATATATCGCTCCAAATACAAAATTTTATTTTTTTCAAATATAAACATTTCTAAGATCTACATATAGACTGGGCCAGAGTCGCGCATTGCGCGACCAGACATCACTAGTATATAATAGATATATATATATATATATATATTATGGATAGCTGAGGGAATTAATCGAATTCCATATATCACTCCCAACTATGGATCCATCATCATCAGAACTGAAATGGGTGCAAGAAATCAAAAAAAAAAATAAAATAAAAATGTATGCGCATCAATCACCATAGTTCCGTTAAACAAAAAATAACGTAGTACCATTTTCATGTATGTAAATCACTGGATTATTATATTTCTCCTTCAACCGGAGCAAAATCTGCCGCATCGCTTCTGGATATCCATGAATCCATTTACCGGCACCCTGCAAACATTTAGCAAAACCGAGAGGGGGTGGTGGTGGTGGAGGAGGGGATCTTGTTAGTATGTGTACCACGAGAAAACTCCCTCCAACTATCAATATCTATTTATCAAATTTATGACAACTTTTACATGGTATAAACCTTACAAGTGTAATTTTGTTTTTTTTTTTATTATTTTTTCAATTTCAAAACAATACGTATAATTCAATGTTTAGTACTCACCTCTAAGTCGCCGAGGGGTTTGCCGTCCTCCCTGTGTGAAAAATATGTATATTTTTTCTTTAAATAGTTCATTATAAAGAATAACGTAAATCAAACATTGGTTGATTGATTGGAATTACTAACCATGCATTAGGACTCCTCGATCCAGAATGCAATCTCGTTCTCCTTGTTTGAGATTGGATACATATCTAGAATAGCAGTAGTTCAATGACACGAAATCATATGATCCCTTGACCATTTCCTTTTGTTCAGGAGTAAATTCTAAGGGGATTTTTTTCATAGCAATTTCAATTTCAGCTGGATATTCGCCATCATATATAGGTCTCATGAACCTGACATCAATCACTCCCAAAAAAATTTGTACACCAATTTCTACAAAAATCCTAGTCCGAGAAAAAAAAATGCATATGCTGTAAAAATGTAGTTCACAAATTAAGTACTCTCACCATCCAACCATGAAATCCAATGCCCGTTCTACAGCCTCTTTATCTTCCTTGGAAGTCTTTTCTAGAGGTTCATACCACTGCGCTACAATATTGAGGCCAATTTTTCCCTCTTCGTCCTTCGAAATTCATAGGCACAAATTAGAAATGAACTTCTAAGTGTAACTAACAAATCATATACTCCCTCAGCCCTCCGTTCCGAAATTATTATTCAATTTGAGTTTTCAGTTTTAGTATAATTTAAATTAAAAATAAATTAAACAATAATTTTGGAATTGAGTGAATATCAAATAAAAAATAAACTAACCAACTTCCTTCCCCTCTTGGAGCTTAATTGGTTCATACCTTCTTACGCAGTTTATAGGCTTTGTAGGCTTTTACTGCCGCTGCATGGGCCAGAAGGTGGTTGTGTCCAACTATATAAAGGGCCAATGGTCCTTTGGAGGCAGGCCTTTGGATATACTCTCTGAATCTGAATCAGAAGAGGATATGGGTAGACATTTATATGACGGGCAGATGGAACTATGATTAGGTGGGGGAATAAAATTAGGGAATAATTTTGCTTTTGCTTCAGCTTCAATGGTCTTATAGTCCTTATCAGATTTAAACCCTGGTGGGATTGCACCCTGTATCCTCCCATAGGCAACATACCAAGGTTCATTTATAGTTGTCCCAATGCTTCACTCTGTCTCCAAATCTCTCGAAGCATACCTCCGCGTAGTTTTTGAAGTCTTCCCTGCATATATGCGACTTTTATTGAACTAAAATAATACGATAAATTTGACTTTTACTTCTAAGTAAGTGATGAAACACTAATTATTTTATAAGTAATGGTGCAAATATTGAAATTTTTTTAGTAAGAATGAATAGTGATAAGAAATAACGTCAAACAACTGCTTAAATAAGTACGAACTTAACAGGGACAATTATATATATATATATATATATATATATTTTGGAGAAAAGGGGAGACTACTTCATTGCATATTCATAAAAGCATTATACAGGGACCCTACGAGGATATGCCATGCTTATAATGTCGTAGAATAGTCAATGTGCTGCACCTGGTGGGGGCAAATCCAGCCTATGAACACTGGGGGGATTCCCCGGCGCCAAGGATGCCAAAAAATCAGCCATACAATTACGTTCCCTATGCCTAAACAGGGACAGTTATATATTTACACA